TCTTTCCCTGGCTGTTAAAGCCCTGACTGAACTTTCTGTTGAGGTTTTGTGCCTTAGCATTAAGTCTGAATTGAGAGTCAGATCAGGGCCAGGGGGCTGATGTCAGGGCAGGACATAAGAAGAAATAAGAACAGATGCTTGCAAACCAGTCGGGTCAACCCATCACCAGGGTTTAATGTCCTCTCCGCCACCAGCCTTACCATGCCAGGACATATAGACCAAGGGAAAATTGTCCCTTAAAAGTCGGTCATGTCTTAACAATGCGTTGCTTCTTTCTGAATTTGTGCCCAGAACCAAATGCAACATTCCTGGATCTGTACAGAGACTTACCCCAGTAACTGTTCGGGGGACTAAATTTGCAATGTCTCTATGTACCCTGGCTATTTTTGCTGCCACATCACACTGCAGCCTCATAATTAACGTGCTATCCCCTATCCAGCTCCAGTCTAAATCACTGCTGTCATCCATTTCAGTACGTTTCAGATGCTTTTATTCATTTCCCAATATAAAGAGATGCAGTTGAATTTTCCACGATGAAATTCTCATGGAGTTAATTCCTGCCACTATTTCTCAGCAGTGACTTAGACCAGACCCTAGAGCAGGGACGGGCAATTATTTGGGCCATGTAGGGAGTTTTGATGAGTTGTCGCGAGCCAAGACAACACACCCCCTACTGCAAGAACTTCCCAAAACTCCCTATGTGGGATGGGGCTGTGGCAGTGGGAGCAGTGTTCAGGAGCGAGATGGGCAGGCAAGAAGACCAAGATCACAGGGTGGGCTTGTGGGCCAGCCCCTGCCCTGTGGAGTTGTGTCTATATGGGTTGTATACACGTGGGGCGGGGGGGAAGGCAGGTTGGGGCTGTTGGGGCACTAGGTCCCAGGAGCCAGCTGGGGGTGAGGGGAGAGAGGGGGACAAGGGGTGCATGCAGCAGAGCTTGCCTGGCTGGTGTGGTCTGTGGGCAGCTGACTGGGAAGGCAGCTGGAGCCCTGCATGCTGGGGCAAGAGCCACCCGGCTGAAGCTTCCTCCCAGCCTGGAGCAGTGCAGCAGGAGTGGAGGGAGGAGCTGCCGCTGGAGGCAAGTGGAGCTGAGAAGCAGCTGCACCAGGAGCAGCCTTGCTGGAAGCTGTGCACGCTGGCTAGGGCCAGGCGCAGGGTGGATCATGTCAGAGGCTGACCCAGACAGGGCTCAGCCCCATGAGGAGCACCACCGGGTGCCACCCCACAGACCAGATCCAAATCAGTTGGCAGGCCAGATTTGGTCCATGGGCCACGTATTGCATTCGACTGAAATGGTGCTTTCTGTATCAAATGGCTTAGTATCATCCGCACGTGCAATACCCGTTAACCTGCTCTTTCAGAACAGCGTCTGAAGTGGTAAGCAGAACCGAGCTTCATGATTCCTGCGATGATCAGATGGTGAAACCATCTAGGAGCGTGCCACTACCCCTCGAGACTGCAATGCTGTCATTTCCCAGTACCCATTCTTCGCATCTCCCCTCACCCCCCAGTTTTTAACCAGAGCAACTATGCTCCTGAACAGGGCAATTTTAAGCGTCGGACCTTCTGCAACGAGTGTGCCAGCAGCATGTTCACCTGGCAAATGTGAAATCAGCTGAACTGCAGACTTTAGCCAGTCTCCAGCACATCTTGATCACCGAATGCTCTGCAAGTCAGAGCAGGC